TATAAAAAATGATAATATTATATTTGCCAATAATTGTTTAATACATAAAATATATTATATACAGTATATACTTAACATTATAATAATAATTAATATTATTATTATTACTACTACTACTACTATTAGAATTTTAATTTTATTTTTTACAATTATTTGGTTTTAATTTATATAAACATTTATAAATCAATATATTGATATATAATTTATATATATAGATATATACGGTATAATATGTTTATACATAATATATATATATATTTATTTTTATTTATTAAATATACATTATAAATATATATATATATATATATATATAATATACAGATAGATTTATTATAATTTTAATAATAATTATATTATATTTAAAATTATACATGGGACAATTTTTCAAACAACAAATTAAAAAAAATATTTAGCTAGATTATTTTTTATACAATTAAATTTAATTACACGATAAAAAATTAACATTATATATTTAAAATTAATTAATTAATTTTTTGCCAAATAAACAAACAAACATACAATCAAATAAAACAAACAAACAAAACAAAAAATAATATTTAAATATATATATATATTAAAAATGTGTTTTAAAACGTGTGTACATATAGATTATATATATATATATATATATACAGGTATTGAAATAATAATAATAATAATAATTGAAACAAAACAAAAATAACATATTGTGTATTGTAGTACAAATAAAATAATAACAACAACAACAAAATTAATAAATAATAATAATTTATATATTGTAAAAAACAAAACAACAACAACAAAAAATAATTTTAATTTATATATATATATATATATATTAATAAAGATATACATAAATATTTAAATATAGTTTATCAATAATAATAATAAAAAAATTATAGAGAAAATAAATAAAATAAAAATAATTTTTATGCCACTCAAAGTTTATTAATTATTTTTTAAAAATATATTATATAAAACTAAAAATTAGAAATTTTTTTAGCAAATAATCTATTTTACTAAAAGTTTAATTTATTTTTTTAATATAAAGTATTTATATAATTAATAATAGATAACAATTTAAATACTAAATAATAATAATAATATATAAAATAATAAATAATAAATAAATTTGTTTGTTAAAATAACATTATAACAATAATTTAATCAATCATTTAAATGATTGTCAATAATTAAAAAAAAAATTAATAATAATTTTTTTTATTTCAATACAGTTTATGTGTAATGTTTAGTTAAATAAATTTACAGTTAATTATTAACACAAAAAAAACTAATTATGAAAACAATTAAAAGCAATTAATTCATATAATTATAATATTTATACACAAAAAAAAATAAAAATCAAAAACAAAATCAAAACAATTGTCGATACAATTGTTTAGCCGATTGATAGTCATAACCAATTGTCATTGACTTTCAATTAAATATATATATCGATATAATAATTAAAATACTAGTAAATAATTTTTAATTACAAAAAAAATATATATAATATTAATATTACTCTTTTAATAATTATTTTTTTTTTTTAAATATGATAATTATTTTACAAAACTAATTATTATTATTTTCTATATATCAATATATAAAACTAAAATCAAAAAAACTTTAGACGACAACACAGTTGTCTAGCCGTCGATAGTCTAAACCAATTATCATAATTGACTTTCAATTTCAATAGTATATATGTTAACAATTTATAGATGACTAACTGTACGATCAATAGATGCCGATCGCGCCTGTAGTCCCCATCGGTTAGACTATATCTGTACAGCATTGACGATATATGACTACCCTGGGGACACCTATCAAAACCGTACATAGCTATCAGCAAATAGGTTAGCGATTGTTTAATTACTGATAAATTTGATAACTGTTTAATAAATTGATTATAGGATGCGGTGGGCGCTATCGTATTGCTTGTTAACGTCAGTATAGGTATTATCATTATACTGACAACAGTTGCATTGGTGGGGAACAGTATGCCGACAATATGGCCCATACTCTGGAATGATAGGGTAGACAAGGTTAGCGATACGGCTAGCGACCAGGTCATCGATCGGTTAACGTAAATGTCGACAATAAACACTACCGATACTGTGGTGGCCAATGCCGGTACAATATCCATAAGCTGTTTGACCAGATAGTAGGATTCAGTACTGTACCAGTCTATTAGGTAATACAAACAAACAGGTTATAACATGTACTGTATAGCTTTAACCTAAAATGATAACTGTCCTCAGTGTATGTATGTGTGTGTATGGGTATGTTATGGGTATGTTATGGGTATGTTATGGGTATGTTATGGGTATGTTATGGGTATGTTATGGGTATGTTATGGGTATGTTATGGGTATGTTATGGGTATGTTATGGGTATGTTATGGGTATGTTATGGGTATGTTATGGGTATGTTATGGGTATGTTATGGGTATGTTATGGGTATGTTATGGGTATGTTATGGGTATATTATGGGTATGTTATATAATTTAAACTATTATTATTATTATTATTATTATTAATTACTAATTACTTACTATTACGGTTTTCATTGAGGAATAGCCTAAAATCACTGGAAAATGTTATCGATGTAACAACCAATTGGATAATATTGCAAATCATTGCTATAAATCTCAAGTAATTATAATTATAGATCAATAATGTCGTCAACCGGAGGGTAGTCGGTGTATGCAAACAAATCAGACTACTCTGATTGGCTGTAATATCGACACAACTGTCCGATGCTTCCAAATCCAGCGAAAATATAATACGTGTAAACAATGTCAAACCAATTAGTATGTTAAAGTAGCATAGATGTAGACGCCAACCATACTGTCCATTGTATAGGAGATAACGGGCCAACAATTGGTAAAACTCTTGGAAACTAAAATGCTTTGTAGTAGTAGTAGTAGTGGTGGTTATGTTGGCACAGGTAGTAGTAGTAGTAGCAGTGTATGCCCTGAACTGTTGTTGTTGGGTTTGTCGTTGCATTTCAAGCACCTGCCCATCATTGGGACCGTTAGCTGCTTGCCTGACAATAACTTCCAAAGCTATCTGACTATGTGGACAGTAGTCAATCATACAACGGTGTAAATGTTCGCCAATACCCGATGCCCGACCCGAGTAAACGGTTATACCGCCTTTGGCCAGTATGTAGAGCTGATCGTACAGTTCAATGATATCCATATTCGGCTGATGTATGGACGTTATGATCGATAAGCGATGACGTTTGGCCAGTCGTCGGAAACATTTGATCATCAACTGAGCGGAATAGCTGTCCACTCCCGAAGTGGGTTCGTCGACACAAATCAGATTCGGTTTCCGTCGGGCAGTCAACTCCATGGCCATTACCACACGTTTTTGTTGACCTGAACTACATTTGCTGACATCGATGTCCCTCAAGTCGGTCAGTGCCAACTCCTGCATCAGTTTTCTGGCTATCGACTCGTGTGAGTGGTGGACGAGTAGTCTATCGCCGCTAACGGCCGAACTGTTTTTCAATTTGGACGCATAGACTATCGACTGGCGTACAGTCAAACCGGTCATCAGGTGTTCCCGTTGATCCTGACCAATGAAACATCGGCGTACCCGACGATTCGGGCTCATATAGACCATCGACTCCCGGGTCATCAGCTCCTGGTAGCGGCCGTTCAATGCCAACAACAGCGATGTTTTGCCGGCACCGGACGGTCCCATCAGTGCCGTCAGTGTCCCAAACTCGACACATCCGCTAACCGATCTCAGTATGAGTTTCTCTGGCGAACAAAAAGTTTTGTCCAAACGTATGGTCAGTTCAGACCAACCGATACACAGGGATCTGATATCAGGACAATGATTATCATCGGCAACAGTAGTAGTAGTAGTAGTAGTAATAACTGCTATTTGTTGATACCGTTCCTCATTGTCCTCATCATTGAATTGTTTGTTAAGATTATACTCAATTAGATCGGCGGCACTCGTATACAATTCGTCTACCGTTTCATAGCAATCATAGTATATTGATTTGCTGTCACTGTTGTTGGAGACAACAGTCCCTCCTCCTCCTCCACCTCCTGGTGCCGCCGCCGCCAGTGTTGACATTTCTATTGTATCACTACTACTACTAACTGTTTTTCTATGATTACTATCGCCGACTCCTTTTTGACAACAAATCAGTTTAACCATCGATTGCCAAACCCATGGATTATTTAGGATAAGCGCTACCACTAGACAACCGATTCTATAGCCGACAAACAGTTTGACCATATTTAGACAATACTCGACCAATAGTCGGGGATCATTGAGATTGTATGTGTACAGTAAATTGCTAACACTGGGCTCAGGGCACCGATTTTGGCCGTATATTGCCATCAGTAATATACTTGACGCAAATCGGCCCGGATATAGATTGCCCATCCATTGGCCTACCCGTCCAATATCGTCCAATCGGATAAACATATTGGAAAATATAGTTGTCATAATCATTAGACAATTGACGGACATGTAGCTCAATGGTCGATTGGATAGCAACAGTAGGCTAACCAGATTGGCCATTACATCGGTACACTGGGCAAACATTACCGAACCGTACAGAAACGGCCAATAGCGACCCGATTCACGGGGTTGGCCAGTAGTATAATAGACTAACGACGTACTGATGGTTGTATTTATAGTGATCAGTACAAAGCTTATGATGGACTCGGTTAGCAAAAACGTACCGGTGCTATACCATGCTATATATATATACAGTAGATAGATATGATAGATAGTTAGATGATATACATACATATACAGTATAATAACAATGGTTATGGTCAACACATACACATACACATACACATACACATACACATACACATACACATACACATACACATACACATACACATACACATACACATACCGTTTTGGTGTTCAAATTGAAATCGCCGTAATCTGGGATCAAATCGGGCAACCGATATGACACCCTGTAGTAGATTATGTATAAACACATAGATACCGATAAGCGAAAAGTTGAAAAAGTTAACATCATTGTTGACCACCTGATCGAAACACGACCGGCCAGTATGTTGTTGTTGTTGTTGACCGCCTCCTCCGCCGCCAAACTGTAAACAATCACTACTGGCTCCGACATCCGTCGGAAAGGTTAACGGAAATATTAGCGCCGACAGTATCATGAGTGCCAAATGTATGGCCAACTGTTGCCAATTGCCGGCATATATTTCGCTAAGGGTCCGGCCTATCAGTATTAGACACTGACGTAGAGAAAATCGTTTTCGCTGTCGTTGTGCTATGGTTTGAGTCAACAATGAGTCGACATCCCGGAGCCGTTCAGTAACTATTTCGTCCATACGATTGATTAGACGTTGAACATCGGCATCTTTGGTACCCATCGATCCGATATTGATAACCGTATCTATGGGTAGCACTTGTCGATGGCGACCATCAACGGCTGAAACGGCAGCTGCGGTATTGCCGATAACGATCTGACAGTCGGCCATATGTTGCCATAGATCCCGATGCGGTCCCCAATATATACAGTGGCCACCTTTGGCCAGCAGATAGAGCTGGTCGCACATGTTTACGATATCGGTGTTCGGCTGATGTATAGTAGTTATGATGCATATGTTGTTGGTTTTGGCCAACCGTTTCAGACAATTGACGACCTATTTTAGTGGATTTGTTAGTAGATATGATATGAGTATAACTACTTGAATAGTTTAGTTATGTTTGATTGTGTGTGTGTGTGTATGTGTGTGTGTATGTGTGTATGTGTGTATGTGTGTATGTGTGTATGTGTGTATGTGTGTATGTGTGTATGTGTGTATGTGTGTATCTGTGTGTATCTGTGTGTATCTGTGTGTGTATGTGTGTGTATGTGTGTATGTGTGTATGTGTGTATGTGTGTATGTGTGTATGTGTGTATCTGTGTGTATCTGTGTGTATCTGTGTGTATCTGTGTGTATCTGTGTGTATCTGTGTGTATCTGTGTGTATCTGTGTGTGTATCTGTGTTTGTATATGTGTGTGTATTTGTGTGTATCTGTGTGTGTGTGTGTGTATCTCTGTGTGTGTATCTCTGTGTGTATATGTGTGTATGTTTGTGTGTGTGTGAATTTGTGTGTATGTATGTGTGTGTGTATGTATGTATGTATGTGTGTGTGTATGTGTATGTGTGTATGTGTGTATGTGTGTATGTGTGTGTGTGTGTGTGTGTGTGTGTGTGTWTGTGTGYGTGTGTGTATGTGTATGTGTGTGTGTGTGTGTGTTTGTATGTATGTGTGTGTGTGTGTTTGTATGTATGTGTGTGTGTGTGTGTGTGTGTGTGTGTGTGTGTGTGTTTGTATGTATGTTTGTATGTATGCATGTGTTTGTGTATGTTTAAGCACCTACTGACCACTTCGGCAATATTGCTGTCCAGACCGGTAGTCGGTTCGTCGCACAGCATTAGTGTCGGCTTTTTATGCGAAGTCAATTCGAGTCCGAAGGCCAACCGTTTTTGTTCGCCACCCGAACACCGTTCGGCCATAGTATCGGCTGTATCGGCAATCATCAGTTCAGTCATCACTGTGTTGGCCACCGATTGGTGATCTATACGTTCACGACAGCCACTGTTTTTCAGTCGGGAAGCGTATACGAGATTCTGGCGTACAGTCAGACCCATAACCAGATAGTCTTGTTGGTTGTGTCCGATAAATGTGGTCCGAGTTTGTTGACTGCAACGTATACGCGACTGGGACGACAAATACCACCCGTTAGTATCGTACAAACATTTCAACAATGATGTCAAGCCTGAACCCGACGGTCCCATAACCGCTGTAACGGTCCCGAAGTCGGCACTGCCTGACAGTCGACTAAGTACTTGCCTATCGTGACGATGACGACCGACAGCTATCAGTGACCGATATTTCAGTGTCAAATCAAACCAGGCTATGGCTGTCCTATCGGTGCCACTAATAGTGTTGTTACCACTACTACTGGCTGTTGTACTGATGATAGGTGTCATCAACAACAACAAAAATGGTCAGTCAGTCGGGTATAACTTATAATAAGTTAGTTAATAAAAAAAATATTTATCAAACACTAGTAGTAGTTATAACTTATAGTATAATAGTATTTATAACTTTTTTTAATACTATTATAAACATTGTATTAAATGTTTTTTTTATTTAAAATTTTTTTAATTTTTTTTATTATAATTAGATTTTTTATATTTTATAACTATTAACTATTATACTTAATGACAACATTGTTGATAATATTTTTGTTTTATGTTGTATTACATTATTGGTTGTTATGTAATTGTTATCCCATAAGGTTTTTTATTTAAAAAAATAAATAAAATAAAAATAAATAAATTACATATTACTTAATATGTAATGTTAGTATAATTTTAATACTATTATTAATTAATTAGTTAGCAGGTACAGTATAAGTAAATTGTTAATTTATTATTATTAATTAATTAATTAATTAATATATTGATGATTTATTTTAAATAATTTATTTACATTTTTTTTGTATTGAAAAAATAAATTTAATATTTTTGTATATTAGTAATATTTTTAATTGTTGTTTAACAGTTTAAATATATTATTAATACATAATTATTATTATTTTATTAATATATTATTGAAATTGAAAGTCAATTGTGTTGTCGTCTAAAATTTTTTTTGATTGTTTGATTTTTAAATATATATTGATATATTAAAAATATATAATTATTTTTTGTAAAATAATTATTATATTTAAAAAATAATAATAATTATTATTATTTATTTTTTTAGTAATTAAAATAAACAAAATTATTTACTATAGTATTTAATTACAGTAATAATAATAATAATAATAATAACAATATTACTCTAATAATAATAATTATTATTTATTTTAAATATGATAATTATTTTACAGAAAAAAACTAATTATTTTTTTATATATATTAATATATATTGTTGTGGTGTGGTATTGTTTAGTTCCAGAGGAATGTCTATTTAGACAATTGATGTCCAAATAGACCGGTCGTACTTAGCGTGGGTCGGTATGAGACCTGTACTTCCGTCTAATCAATACCAAACACTAGTAGATATGTGTCGGTATGAGACAGATATCCACTATAAGATCACCAGTAAGTCGTTGTGGTAGGTCTGGATTTGCGGATATCTGTCTCATACCGACACATATCTACTAGTGTTTGGTATTGATTAGACGGAAGTACAGGTCTCATACCGACCCACGCTAAGTACGACCGGTCTATTTGGACATCAATTGTCTAAATAGACATTCCTCTGGAACTAAACAATACCACACCACAACAAATTGGCGCAGTCGGCACCGATCAACAATAGATCCCTATCTACGCGTATTGATGTCCACTCCTATTATCTCTGGCTTAACAAGACACGGGACATCATATCTACTTCAAGACAACATATCTGACGAGACAACCACTGAGTCCGAAGAAATGTCTCAATGCGGAGACAACACAAACAATGCTGACCTGACCGGTCCAACCGCTCTCAGCACTTCCAATGGCACAACAGCTCCGCAACTCATTACTGTAAAGATACCGAAGTATAATGGCTCTAAAGACACACCACTCCGTATAGAAGCATTCCTCCAGATCTTCGAGCGTGTATTCACTCATCTATCCGACGACAACAAACTTATTAAAATCGTTGAATTCCTCGAAGGAGACGTCGCCAACTACTATGGATCAGATATACTCACCAATCTATCCATCACTTGGACCGAAGTCAAGGACCTCTTGACCGGTCGATACACCCATTCAGATATACCTCCAGAAGTAGCCGCAACTCGACGACGTCAACAAAGAACTGAAACCATCCGCACCTACTTCGATGGCAAAATGGAAATCCTCCGCCGCCTAACCAACTATACGGACAGCCAACGCGCTAACCTACTTACAGAAGGCCTACTTCCCGAATACCGTGAATACTTCTATGGCCGCCGCTTCCAGACTCCGAGCTTATGGCTCGAGATGGCTCAAGATATTGAAGCCGACAAACAACGACATAACAGACAGCACCGGCCGCAAGGATCGTCTCACTACACATCCGACAACAGAGGCGACCGGTCCAACAAAAAGCATAGCAAACCAAATCAGGACAACAACAACCGCTCAGACAAACGTCCGCCATATTCATGTCGTATATGCCGCGACAAAGGACTTACTTCATGGCATTATCACAAAGACTGTCCACACAAATCATCCGACTCTTCATATGACAGACAGCCCAACAATGACAACAACGGTCACACCTCCGAAGTGACCGGTCCTACAAACCATTTCATCCGTCCGCAAGCAATGGCTACTCATGTCGTAGCGCAAGACATGATACTGATTCCTGGGCGCATCGGACGCTTCGAATTATCCGCTCTCGCAGATCCCGGTTCCACCGTCGACTTGATGCCACTACATGTAGCAAAGCACCTCCGTCTCCGCATCGACACACGCAAGTCGATGACCATCTCATTGGCCCGTGGATCTGTCCACACTTTAGGTGAGGTTACCTTTACGCTCACCATGAATAGGATGCCGCGCACCGTAACAGCACAAGTACTGCCTGGCTTTCAGTACACTCTACTCCTATCCCTCCGCTCTCTTGGACTCTACGACATCCTTATCGACACCAAAAATACTAAAGCAATATTCAGATCATCACAACCGCTGACCGGTCAGCAATGCCAAGCCATTAGCAGTCGCCTACCTATTCATCCAAACCGGCGACCGGTCAGCCCATTGAATCAAAATAATCAACAGTCCACCATTTCTACTACTTCGCCCCGCATAGGATTGGCCGCCAATCAGCCAACACGACACCGTCAGTATCGTCAGTCACATCAACAGGCGCCACAAGCCAGCCGAGTTATTGAGACGCCCAGTGCTCTCACACAGGTAAGCGTGAGTACTACCGCTGTACCGGTAACTTTGGTAAACTCTAAAGCCGATACAAATGCCGCTTGTCGTATGACTACCGCCGACCAATTCCTATGTGAACCTCCAGCCATCCAAACATCTCAACCATCAGACTCTGGACCGATCCCTACTCCTCCAGCTGTCACCCGTCTAAAGCCTTCTTCAACTTTCAAAGAGATGTTCGATAATATCCGCAAATCCAGACCTACCACACGACAACCTACCGTCAACTCTACTCCGGACAACCACTCCAACCGTACCTACAAACAGATGTTCAACAAACAGCCGCCTAATTCAATACCGGACCGATCGACGCAATCATCGCACCGTCGAACCCGATCTCCTGGTCCGCGTCGGACATCTGTGGCCACATCTATCCTCCGCGACCAGTCTTAAAGCGCCGGGGAATGTTGCACACATAGACATCAATGTCTATTATCTTTAATTTTATAATCTTTTTGTTATTTATTTTATACTGTATCTTATTTTTAGTACATTTTATTGTCTTATATTTACACATATCATTATCATTGACCTTTCAATACCTACCTTTCCTGGAACTGCCTGTCATTGACCACATCCAGTGGCTCCTCAATGACCGGTCAGTATCCTGGTAAGGGATTATCTACTATACAAACCAACCAATACCTGTATCTCCCGCCATACATACCTCTCTATATAAACCCTATCCACTGTACATACACTCCAGTGTTTCACTGCCTCTCAGTCAGTGCTTCTCATACTCCCTTACTGTGCACATCGCTGCCAGTCATTACTGCTACTAATACCTGAGCCAAGCCTCAGCACCTATACCTGTCTCACACATACACTCCACGTGTCCTCTTAAATACTTACCATTTGTATCACCATTTGATCCATTGTTTTACAATAAACTTGTTATTTGTTATCAATCGTGTCTTCATATCATTCATACATATCAGTGATCGGTCTGACCATTCAGTCCACTGATATCTACAGACATACCGTTCGCTGGCCAACCACTCACTGTAGGAGAAGACATCGGAGATTAGGATCACTCCTAAGCCTAGCCTTTGGACCACAACTGCAGATCGGATCTCATATCACCTGTTGGTCTCACAACGACTTACTGGTGATCTTATAGTGGATATCTGTCTCATACCGACACATATCTACTAGTGTTTGGTATTGATTAGACGGAAGTACAGGTCTCATACCGACCCACGCTAAGTACGACCGGTCTATTTGGACATCAATTGTCTAAATAGACATTCCTCTGGAACTAAACAATACCACACCACAACAATATATAAAATTAAAACTCAAAAAAAAACAATCAAAAAAACTTTAGACGACAACACAATTGTTTAGCCGTCGATAGTCTAAACCAATTATCATAATTGACTTTCAATTTCAATAGTATATATGTTAACAATTTATAGATTACTAACTGTACTATTAATAGGTGCCAATCGCGCCTGTAGTCCGAATCCTGTAGACTATATCTGTACATTATTGACGATATATGACTGCCCCCGTTGGTAGGACACCTATCGAAACCGTATAGGCTAACCAACAATAGGGACTGGGTTTGTTTGATTACCAATAGATTGGACAGTTGTCTGATAAATTTGACGTACAATGTTACCGGTGCAAATGTATAACAATTGAGAAATAGTACGGGTATTAGTATAATACTGATAACAGTGGCGTCGGTTTGAAACAATATGCTAGCAATTTGGCCCATACTCTGAATGGATAGGGTCGACAGTGTTAGGGATAGTAGTAATGGTTGGGTCATTGATCGGCGTTCATATATGTCGACAATGAATACAATGGATACTATGGTCAACAGGTTGGGTAGGATATCCATAAGCTGTTTGGCCAGGAAATAGGATTCAGTACTGTACCAATCTATTGTGATTAAAATATTTATATTTTATTTTTTAATTATTTTTTTTTTAAAAAAGTCAATCATTTTGTTAAAATATAAAAGTTAAGATAAAATATATACAAATAATTATAGTATTTAAATAACATAAAAACCCTAAATGGTTTATATATTAGTTAAATTAAACTTTAACTTTGTATGTATGTGTGTGTGTATGTGTGCGTATGTATGTTTTTTTTGTATGTATGTATGTGTGTATGTATGTAATACTGTTTGTGTGTATTTGTATATATATATATATATATATATGTAATACTGTTTGTTTGTGTGTATACGTATCTGATTGTGTGTGTTTGTGTATGTATGTATATATATATATATATGTGTGTGTGTGTGTGTGAGTGAGTGAGTGGGTGACTGGGTGTATTTAAAAAAATACTTACTATTACGGTGCTCGTTGAGGAACAGTCTAAAATCATCGGTAAACGTAATCGACGATATAATCAATTGCATAACAGTATTGACCAAGGTTATAAAGGACAGGTAGTTAAAATTATAGACCAATAGGGTATCCAATCTCAGTGTAGTTGGCGTACGCAAACAAACCAATGGTTCACTGGTGCCGGTGCTGGTGTTGTTGGTGTTGTTGTTGTCAACAGCACCTACATCTACACAACTATCCGACGCCTCCAGATCTACTTGAAATATTAGCCGGGTAACAAATGCCATACCAATTAGTAGATTGTAGACACCCAGTTGGACACGCCAACCATACTGGCCAGTATAGACCAAATATCGGCTTAATAAATAGTAAAATTCCCGGCATGTAAAGCACCGGGTGGTTTGAGTTAATGGTATACCAGTACCATTAGCACCGTTAGTAGTGGTGGTGGTGACGGTAGTAGTAGTGGCCGCCACACGTATAGTGTAAGCCGATTGTAACCGTTGCTGATGTTGTCGGGTTTGTCGATGCATTTCAAGCACCTGTCGATCATTGATATTATTGCCAGCTATTTTCATAATCACTTCCAGCGGTATCTGTCTGTTTGGACAGTACTGGACACCGCATTCCCGTAGATGTTTGCCAATACCCGATGCCTGACCCGAGTATACACTAATACCGCCTTTGGCCAGTATGTAGAGCTGATCGTACAGTTCAATGATATCCATATTCGGCTGATGTATGGACGTTATGATCGATAAGCGATGACGTTTGGCCAGTCGTCGGAAACATTTGATCATCAACTGAGCCGAATAGCTGTCCACTCCCGATGTCGGTTCATCGACACAAATCAGATTCGGTTTCCGTCGGGCAGTCAACTCCATGGCCATTACCACACGTTTTTGTTGACCTGAACTACATTTGCTGACATCGATGTCCCTCAAGTCGGTCAGTGCCAACTCGTTCATCAGTTTTCTGGCTATCGACTCGTGTGAGTGATGGACGAGTAGTCTATCACCGATTACTGTCGAACTGTTTTTCAATTTGGACGCATAGACTATCGACTGGCGTACAGTCAAACCGGTCATCAGGTGTTCCCGTTGATCTTGGATTATAAAACACCGGCGCACCCGACAATTCGGGCTCAACCAGATCCGAGACTCGGCGGTCATCAGTTCACCGTATTGGCCGTTCAATGAACGCAACAGCGATGTCTTGCCGGCACCGGACGGTCCCATCAGTGCCGTCAGTGTACCGAACTCGACAAACCCGTCGACCGATCGGAGTATCAGTTTTTCGTCGGAGTAAATGGTTTTCGCCAACCGTAAGGTCAGGTTAGACCAGCCGATACTTAGCGAACCGATTTCTGTCCGCTGATTATGATTATCGGCTGCTTCTGTATGTATCTCCTGTTCCCCATCATCATCATCATCGTTGTTATTGTCCAAAAATTGTTTATTTAGCTTATAATCAATTAGGTTGTCGGCACACAAATGGTCAAACTTATCAACCGATTCATAGCAATCATAATATACGGAATTGGCGTCAATGTTGTTGTCATCGGTGTTGTCGGTGTTTTCAGCTACCGGTGCCAATGTCGACGACATTTCTATTATTATATTATTTTCAACAACAATTGGCCGACTATTTGGTGACTGCTGAAGCCGTGGCCACCAAAGTTTATTGATAATCAATTGCACCCATGATTGATAAACATGTCGATTGTTTAGGATAAGCATAGTTACCATACAGGCCAGCTTATAGACGGCAAACAGTTTGCCGAGATTTAGACAATACTGGACCAATAGGTCGGGCGGTTCGGTTAGGTTATACATATAGAGTAGATTGCTGACCTGGGGCTCCGGGCATCTGCCTTGACCGTAAATGGTTAGCAGCATAATTTGGGCGGCAAACCGACCGGGATATAGATTGCTAACCAGTTGGCCAAACTGGCCAATGTCCCTCAATTGGATGGCCAGACCGCATAGTATTTCCGTCATAATCATTACGATTACGCTGACTATGTAGACCATACGTCTGGTTGGTACAACCAATGTAATGAGTTGGCCGATAGCGTCGGTACATTGGGCGGCCATTACGGTTGCGTACAGAAACGGCCCGAAACGTTTCAGTTCCCTGGGTTGGCCAGTCGTATAGTAGACAATGGTTGAACTGATCGATGTGTTTATAGTGATCAGTACGGCAGTCAGCAGGGACTCGGTTAGCAAATAGCTGCCGGTGCTGTACCAGGCTGTGGGTGTGTGTGTGTGTGAGAGAGAGATAGAGAGAGAGAGAGAGAGAGAGAGAGACACACAAACAACAAGCACACACACAATCAATACACCCACACTCATATACTAACAATACACGCACACACATACACACATACGTACATACACATAAAAACACATACAAACATCACACACACACACAACACCCACACACACACACACACATACACACACAATCAATACACACATACAAACAATACACACATACGTACATACACATAAAAACACATACAAACATCACACACACACACACACACACACACATACACACACAATCAATACACACATACGTACATACACATAAAAACACATACAAACATCACACACACACACAACACCCACACACACACACACACACATACACACACAATCAATACACACATACAAACAATACACACATACGTACATACACATAAAAACACATACAAACATCACACACACACACACACACACACATACACACACAATCAATACACACACACGTACATACACACACATACAAACATCACACACACACACACACACACATACACACACAATCAATATACACATACGTACATACACATAAAAACACATACAAACATCACACACACAAACAACACCCACACACTCACACACACATACACACATAATCAATACATACACATAAAATTACATACAAACATCACACACACAAACAATACACAAACATAAACACATACACAGACACACATACATACATACCCGCACGCACCTACCGTTTTGGTGTTCATAGTAAAATCGCTGTAGCGTTGAATCAAAACGATTAACCGATATAATACCCATCAGTATAGTATTGATCAGTATATAAGCGTTAATAAACAGAAAATTATAGTAATTCTGGTCATTGTTGACCAACTGATCGAAACAGGACAGTCCCCGGCGGCGGCTGCTGTCCAGATCGGGCGCTGAAAACTGAAAACAATCGCTACCGGAGCCAACATCGGTCGGATAGGCCAACTGGAATATCAGTGCCGCAAACAGTATGATTGCCGTATGAATGGCCAATTGGCGCCACTTTACTGAATATATTTCGCTAACTAATCGACAGCTAAGTATCAGACAGTCTTTCAGTGAAAACCATTTGCCACGAGAACTGGTATGTTTGGATAGGTTTAACGGTTCAACTAATTGTTCGACATCCCTGAGCCGTTCCCGGGCTAGTTGTTGTTCAGTACGGCTACATAGTCGTAAAACTCGGGGATCTGACAGTCCTAACGAACCTAAAGTAATAACCGACGCCAGTGTCAACTCACGGCTAGGATCGGTGGCGCCGATGTCGGTACTAATCTGACAGTTGGCCATATGTTGCCATAGATCCCGGTACGGTCCCCAATACATACAGTGGCCACCTTTGGCCAGCAGATAGAGCTGATCGCACATGTCTAGGATATCGGTGTTGGGCTGATGTATGGTAGCTATGATGCATATGTTGTTGGTTTTGGCCAACCGTTTCAGACAATCGACGACCTATTTTATTGGATTTGTTAGTAGATATGATTAGTATAACTAATTGTATAGTTTAGCTATGTGTGTGTGTATGTGTGTGTTTGAGTGTGGGTGTGTATGTGTGTTTGTATGTTTGTATGTATGTGTGTTTGTATGTGTGTTTGTATGAGTGTTTGTATGTGTGTTTGTATGTGTGTTTGTATGTGTGTTTGAATGTATGTTTGTATGTGTGTTTGTATGTATGTGTGTTTGTATGTGTGTTTGTRTGTGTGTGTGTGTGTGTGTGTGTGTGTGTGTTTGAATATGTGTGTGTATGTATGTGTGCGTATGTTTTCTATGTTTGTGTGTGTGTGTGTGTGTKTGTAGACACCTACTGACCACTTCGGCAATATTGCTGTCCAGACCGGTAGTCGGTTCGTCGCACAGCATTAGTGTCGGCTTTTTATGCGAAGTCAACTCGAGTCCGAAGGCCAACCGTTTTTGTTCGCCACCCGAACACCGTTCAGCCATAGTATCGGCTGTATCGGCAATCATCAGTTCAGCCATCACTGTGTTGGCCACCGATTCGTGATCTATACGTTCACGACAGCCGCTGTTTTTCAGTCGGGAAGCGTATACGAGATTCTGGCGTACAGTTAGACCCATAACCAGATAGTCTTGTTGGTTGTGTCCGATAAATGTGGTCCGAGTTTGTTGGCTGCAACGTATACGCGACTGGGCCGACAAATACCACCCGTTGGTACCGTTCAAACATTTTAACAATGATGTCAGGCCGGCACCCGACGGTCCCATAACAGCTGTAACCGTACCAAAGTCGGCACTGCCTGACAGTCGACTAAGTATCTGCCGGTTGTGATGACGACGATCGCCGATAGAGATCAGTGACCGATATTTCAGTGTCAGATCAAACCAGGCTATGGCTGTCCTAACTGTGCCAATAGTTTCATCACTACTACTACTACTATCACTACTACCACTACTACTACTATTGGCAGTCATACTAATGGTAGTCATCAAAGTAGTCGATGCTATTTAAATGCTATTTAATATTTATAAACATAATAACATAGTATAAGTAAATTTTTTTTTATAAGTTTTTTATATATATATAAAAAAATAAAAATATTTTTAAATAAATCAATAAAACAAATACATACCTGAATTGTTTTGTTTTTTTCAAAATAAAATTTTAGTATTAATTATTATTATATAAATTGGTTAGAATTTTATTACTATATTTTTATACAAAAAATAACTATAATTTTTTTTACTATTATTTGATTTTTATTTATATATAAAAATTATTTTGTATTATAAAATTACTTTTTATTATAAAAACATTTTATACCATATGTGTTAAAAAAAATTTATATATACTGTATAAACAATTTTTTGTATGTTTACGAAAAAAAAATAAAATCATTGGTTAAATTAATTAAAATATTTATTAAAAAATAAAAAACATAAAAACGTTTTGCATAGCAAAAAGCATTGAATTTCAATATTTTGAATTAATTTTATTTATTTTTTTTTTAAATATTATTAATAATTTAAGTTAATTAAGTAATAAAAAAAGTTAATTTTTATAATGTATTTTTATATAATATATTTTTTATAATTTTCTATTTGTTTAAATAAGATTAAAATTTATTTTAATGATGACAAAAATTTTTTCTATTAATTACTGTATATATATATTTTGTAAAATTATACAATTATTATACCATATACTATATATATATTATTATTATATATATATTGTTTTTGTATTATAATATACATATTATTATTATTATTATATCAATGTGTTTGTGTGTTGAGTGTATTGTCCGATAAATACTAATACCGGAGCCGATGATAGCACTGGATATGTATTTAATTAAATTTTTATTTTTAGTTTTGTATTAAGTATTTTATTTTTTTTTTAAATTTTATCTATAATTATATCTATAAAATTTATTTATTATTTGTTGCTTACATTTAAATTTAACAATTATGTTATCAATCAATGTTTCGCTGTATTGTAAAAAAACAATTTTTATCCTAAAAATATAAAATAATTATTTCCATTATTATTAACATAATTGTCGACAATTGTTTTTGATAATAACAATTAAATTTTTATTGTAAATACTAATAATAATAAATAACAAAATAAAAATTGTTATTATTATTATTATTATTAAAATAATTTAATTGCATTTCTAGAAAAATTCATAAAATAGATATATTAATTTATATATATATAAGAAAATACAATATTAATAAATTAATAAAATTTAATAATAAATATTTTTAGTTATTATTTTTCAAATTTAATTATTTTTTGTTATAATAAATAGCTAACTAAATTATATAAATTATATATATATATATATATATATATATATATATATATATATATATATATATATATATATATATATATTACTAGTCTAGACCTCAATTACATTTATATAAATTATTATTTTACATATTAAAAAAATACAAATAAAATATAATATACACAATGTATAAAAATAAAATAATAATTTTACCAAAAAAATTATAAATATATATATATTTATATAAAATATAATATATTATGATTACGTATGTGTTTGTGTAATGCTATTTAAATATTTAATTTAAATTAATTAAATAGTTTTTTTTATTGAAAATGTTAGCATTTTTTAAAAATTTTATTAATATATATAATATTTATGAGAAAAAATTTGTTAAAATTTATTTTCTATTTCTATTCCTATACTTGTATAGTATTATATACTTTATATATATATGATATAAATATGATATATATATATATATGTATGATATATATATATGACATTAAATTTTAAAAGGTTTTTTTTATATAAGCCTACAAACAAAATAAAATGATTACATAATATTTCACTGATAATAATATTTATTGAATGAAAAAAAAATTTAAAAAAAATCAATATTAATATCTTTTTTTATATAAATAAAAGTTTATTAATAATAAAATAATTATAAATATTTTATTAATTTAATAAAAATAAATAAATATTAAATCTTTCTAGTATTTCTAATATTTATTGTTTTATTGTTATCAATTGTATTCAACAAATAGTTAAGTTAGCTAGATAGATTATTTTAAACAAATAAATTAAAAAATATCAAATAAAGATTAAACTAAACTATAAAATAAAATTATTAATGTATAAAAAATATTAAAAATTTATTTTATTTATTTCTCTCTATAGGATTATATTATCATTTTGTATGTCAGTATGATTTTGATATATATATATATATATACAATATATACTGAATATATATACTGTAAATATAAATATATATATAATATTTGAATACCACTCATATTATTGTCAATAATCCAATTCATTGATTCATAAATATATATATATTTTATATATATATTATATATATATATATATATATTATATTTTTACAGTATATATATATATATAAATATATACAATAAATACGGTATCGTTTGAATACATTTATTAATAATAATAATAATATAAAAAACAGTGAAATCCTATTTAAAATAAAATGTTATGAGATATGCGATAAATACTGTTCCCGTTCACTATCCAATTGAAAGCCCATCAACTATGTGTATGTGTATGTGTATGTGTATGTGTATGTGTATGTGTATGTGTATGTGTATGTGTATGTGTATGTGTATGTGTATGTGTATGTGTATGTGTATGTGTATGTGTATGTGTATGTGTATGTGTATGTGTATGTGTATGTGTATGTGTATGTGTATGTGTATGTGTATGTGTATGTGTATGTGTATGTGTATGTGTATGTGTATGTGTATGTGTATGTGTATGTGTATGTGTATGTGTATGTGTATGTGTATGTGTATGTGTATGTGTATGTGTATGTGTATGTGTATGTGTATGTGTATGTGTATGTGTATGTGTATGTGTATGTGTATGTGTATGTGTATGTGTATGTGTATGTGTATGTGTATGTGTATGTGTATGTGTATGTGTATGTGTATGTGTATGTGTA